GGATAGGTGTGATGCCATTAGCTAATATGAGAAATGCAGCAGATTGAGCAGGGTTTAGGGGAGGGAAGGAAGTGCTAAGTTCAGGGTTTTTTTTTTTTTTTCCTTTTTGTCTTTTTTCGTGACCAGTAACGGGATCACAACCCTTGGTGTCACGCCCGTACCGCAACCGGCAACGGGATCGCAACCCTCGGTGTTGCGCCCGCACCACGCTCAACCAGTGAGCGGACCGGTCTCTATATGGGATCCGAACCCTCGGCGGGAGCGCCGACGCACTCCCAAGCGCCGCACTCTACTGAGTGCGCCACCGGCCCCTGAGTTCAGTTTTAGACATCAAGTCAGTTAGCTTTTGCTATGGGCAAACCACCCCAAAACTTAGTGGCTCGAAACCGCAACCATGTATTAGCTCACAGTCTGTGGATTAGCAATTTCAGCTGGGTTCATCTGCACAGTTCTGATCCAGACCAGGCTCAGCTGATCTCAAACAGTGCTTGCTCATGGCGATTGCTGGGGCACCTTGATTCTCCCCCACGTGGCCTCTCCTCCACCAGCTGGGTGGCTTGGACTCTTTCACGCGGTGGTCTCAGGGTCCCAAGCTCGGCAAGAGAAGGCAAGATCTAATATACAAGCACTTTCCAAGCATCTGCTTTTGTTAACATCCCGTTGGCCAAAGTTTAAGTCACACAACTAACCCAGACTCAAGAGGTGGGAAATAGACTATCTCCTTATGGGATGGTAAGATTTGAGCCATTTTTGCAATGTCCCACAGACCCGGTGTGTTTAAGGTATGCGTGAGCCACCTAAATAGACATTCCAGTGGTCAGCGAGGTCTCAGGAAAAAGATTTATCTGGAGGTCAGATTTGTGAGCATCAGTCATTCATGTTGCTGTATCGGGAGTGGATAAGGTCATGCATGAAGGTCATACATATTTTAATAATTAAAACTAACCTTCATGGGGAGCTCGCTCTGTGCTAGGCACTGTGCTAAACTCTTTAGGGGCATTGGGATCAATTAATCCTCACTGTTTAACAATAATTAGAGGTGCACGGTTAAGAGGTGGACTCTGGGTTTGACTTTCAGCTCTCTCTCTTACTGGTCATATTACCTGGGCAAATTATCTTAGCTGTCTGGGTCTTGTTTACTTCATCTGTGAAGTGGCCTGTTGTCGAGGTTAAGTGAGTTCGTACACATAAGATGCACACTATAGATCCTGGCACATTGTAAATGCTCAATCAGGAAAAAGCCTTGTTATTGTTCTTGAAGAACTGAAGCTCAGGTAGGTCAAATAATTTAATCAGAGTTCAATAGCTACTAGGCAGCACAGTGGGAATCTGAATTTATACTTATTTGGACTCCACAGCCCATATTGGTGACCCTTATCTACCCTGCCTAGGGCCATTGCTTGTTTAGAAGCAATTGGCCATTGACCACAACATGGTTGCTCCAGAAAAAGCCCAAAGCAGTCCTCAGAATCCAGCCCATCTATGCACATGGTCAAGGAGATGGTCAGGAGGGCCCCTGAGACAACCTAGAGACCCAAAGCAGCCAAAGCCTTCTCAACAACAAGTCCCTCTCAGGCCTGCACAGGTTCCAGAAGGGGACTGTCCACCTGCTCTGCCTCCAGCCCAGCTGTCACTGCTGTCCTCTCACTGCAGAAGCAGCAGCCCATTTTGAGAAACAAGGGCAGGGCTTGGCCACCGAGGGAAAGAAGGGGCCCCTCCTGTCCTACCCCCAGAGCCAGCCGTGGGCTCCCACCACTCCCAGCAGCCCAGGGCACCATTTTGGCATGTTGACTGGGGCTGGTGGACACCTCATCCATGCCTGCAGTGGCTGGGGGCAGAGGAGTCCTTTTTGCTACAGGGAGAGTCTTTAACTCAAATCTTACCCAGAAAGAGACACAATGGAAACAGAGAAACGTGGGACTGCTCTGCATCAGCCTGGGAGACCAGCCTGCTGAGTGCCCTAGGACAGCGTGCAGACAGAACACAGTCTGAAAACCTCTAAGCCACAGTGAGGCAGTCCCCCTGAGTGGGTGACTTTGGGAATTACTGGCTGGGACAGTGGTTATCACTGAAATGTGAGAACAGTAGTCCCTGACTGGGAGCAGCCTGGCTGAGCCAAGCACCTCACAGGTGAGGAAGAGATTATGCTGGTTGGAAACCCTCAATGTTGAAAGAAGGACGGAGCTGGTTCTCTGAACCCACAAGCTTGATAAAGGCCACCCCTTGTCACGTCCCCTACTTCCCTGCCCCTCAGGCTCTGCTGCCACCAGGGCTTTCCCCTGGGCACAGTTCACATCTTTAAAGAGGTGAGCTAAGGATTCCTTTGCAAATGTCTCCCTTCCCCAGGATGCTCAGAAGGAAGCAGATAGGACAGGACGGGGCTTGATAAAAATGGTAAAAATGGGTCCTGAGTCCCTCACATGCACCACATACATACGCATATATGTACGCATACACTCACACACCCCCGTACATGCACACATGCATGCACACCCTTTTACATATATGCATGTATGCACGGACTCACATACCTGCTCACACACATGCACATATATACCACATACATATGCATATATACATGCAGACACTCACATACCCCCGAACATGCGCACACACGCACTTTTACATATACACACGTATGCAGACACACATATCTAATCACACCCATGCACACATATACACATGTAATTTGCGTATATATACACACATAGACCCTCTCTTGTTTTTGTGCCCCTAGAGGTCAGGACAGAAGCCAAAATGTCTCCCACCCTCCACAAGCCAGTGGTTCTGAAAGCTGGCAGTGGGGTGGGGAGGGGAAGAGGGCTCTGCCACCAGTTGAGGCTTTGAGAAGCTAAAGACCTAGCACTGGCCAGTTAGCTCAGTTGGAGTGCAGTGTTATAACACCAAGGTCAAGGGTTCCGATTCATGGACCAGCCAGCTGCCAAAAAACAAATAAATAAGTAAACCAAAAACCTCTATCTTGGAAAAGACCACTTGCTCCATTGCCCCACCCTGAGTTGCTTCCAGAACAACCTGGAACACCCAACAGCTCTGAGTTTGATAAGCATCACTGCAGAGTAAAGGGCCATTGAGTGCTCAGAGAGCATAGAAATCAGAATGATTTCTCACAATGGGCTTCCTGGAAGTGGCCCATGGGGTGATCCTCACACTAGAGGGGCCCCAGCTACCTTTGCTGGCCGCATGTGGTTTACCTGAGCAGGCAGACCCTCTCACCTGGATGCCAGGGCATGGTACTTTCCTGCCCTGGGCAGGTAAAACCTGCAGCTGTAATTCCAGGCTCTGGTGACAGTTCAGCAGGACCTGCAGGCCCAGAGGAACTTCTGCACAGGAAGCCTGCTGCTTGAGAAGCTTAGAGGATGACGCGGAATTGAGGTGCTCTCTAGGGAAGCCACTGCTGGGCATCTTTGCACGCAGCCCCGGCATGCTCTAGAGGCTATAAATATGTTTGCTAGTCAGCTATTATGTCTGTTCTGTTCTGACATGGAGAGATGCCCACTCTTTATCATTCATGAGAAGGGCAGATTGCAGGGCAAAGTGAATGTGTGAGCATGTGTCCATCGTCTGTCTGTCGGAGATGCAGGATCTGATTTGTTAGTGTGCGTACCCTGGAGAAGAGAGGAAGCCAGAAGGCTACTTTCCCCTTTGTTTGCTTCTGTTGTTTAAACATTTTAAACCCAGCACTGTCAATTGCCCTTGAGGTACTTGCAGTTAATTGAGGGAGACTAATGGGTCAGCAGATGAATTACAATACAAACAGAAAGAGATTACAGCCACTTGAGATGTCTGCAGTTTCTACTGTGTCAAATCTCTTGGTTCTGTTTTTCCCAATTACCATTCTGCAAAGAGAACAGAACTTTCTTCCCTCCCACAAATCTGCCATCCATTTCCCCTTTCCCTGCACTCCCTCCTCCTACCCCTCAAAATGCTTATGCGCAGGCACGCACACACGCCGACCCTGGAACTGGGCCATAAGCTGGCCACAATTTATGTTCAATTATTACTCCCCCTTTGGAGATGCTCTCCAACCCCCACCCCCACCCCGCTTTTCTTTGCTTGTTTGGCTCATCTGGATTGTTTATTTGCAGCGACAAATATCAAGCCAAGAGCCAAACTTAGTGAACCACAATAAAACATAACTGAGTAAAGTTTTGGAACTTTGAGTGACAAAGTTTTTGCCTCCTCTGATGGTCAGGATATCATTCTAGTCTGCTAGGCTTTCCTTGACACTTTCTGAGAAAGTCAACTTTTTCCGGATCGACTCCTGGGGCCGACAAGGAAATGAGTCCTTCAAGGGAAAAGGAATCCCAGGCAGCTAATAATCCCTGCTCATTTTTCTAATCCCTCCTAACCCCTCCCAGTGGATTTGCCAATGGCTTACCATCAATCAGAAAACCAAATCCAAATTTCTCAGCAGGGCATGATTTGGCATCAACCTCCCTCTCTGACATCATCTCCAGTGATTTCTCTCTTTTGCCATGTTCCAGCCACACTGTCCACCTCCTGCCTTAAGCCTTTCTGCTCCCTCTGCCCAATCCTCTTCTCCCATTTCTGGATGAGACCTTCTCTTTCTTGCCATTCCATGTTGAGCAGACAGGTTCCCTTCTCAGAGACACCTTCCCTAATCACTCTAGGGAAACACTGCCCCATCTTTCCCACCCCCCCACCCCCACCCCAGTCTCCCTGCCTAGGTTCATTGATCACTATCCAAAATTATCCAAAATGATCTTATTCATTTGTTTTCTTGTTGACCATCTGTGTACCCCACTAGAATGTAAGCTCCATGAGAGCAGGGAATTTGTCTATCCTGGTCATTGTTGATTTCACAGTATCCACAGCACCAGCCACCTAGGAGGTGCTCAGTAACTTTTTGTTAATGAATGACTAAATGGCTGCTCAGCTCCCATGGGCTGCTGGTGAAGCCCACTATCTGTGTCCTGGGGGTGGAGGACAGGGCTGAACATGTGTTGCTGTGATTGCAGACAGAGTCCTTCAAGCTGAGTGAACCCTACAGTCAGTGCACAGAGGACGGGAGTGATGTGCCGATCACAAACATCTATGATGCTGCCTACTCCCTCCAGGTACGGGCTGGCAGGGCGCCCAGCCTTTGGCTGTGGCCTGGACCCAGAAGACAAAGTTATATCCAGGCTTGGGTGTGGCTGGGACCAGGAACTCTGGTGAGGAACCCTGGGGTTCGTCCAGAGACCTCAAGAACAAGAGAGGCCGGCTGGTTCCAGTCCTCTTCAGTCTGTCTGTAACCAGAGCCTAATAGATTCACTGAGGTTTGCATGCAACACAATGTACAGTGAGACAGGCCCTCTCCCTAAATGAGCCTGGGTGAGTGAGGGACAGGATGGAAGCATTCTGGGAGGGACACTAGCTGAGGGGTCAAGGATTTGGCTTTCACGTGTGCCCTTGCTGGCTGAAGACCACGGGCAAGCTGTGTCTCCTAAACAATCACAGGAGGAAGCTGGATTAGATCAGGGGCTGCTGATTGGCAGCTCCCAGTCTCTTTCTAGGCTGCACACCTGTTTTTCCTAGCCTGGATGACATTTAAAAGTCAGGGAATTTCACAAGAAAATTCAGACTTCCAGCTTCTCTTGAAAAAATGGGATAATCTGGCAAGATGGAGCCCATATACCTGCAGGATTAGAAGAGGGTGGACCTGCTCTATTAAATGAGACATGTATCCTCAGGTCCCCACATTTCTCTCCACCCCTGCTGTATTACTTACATCGCTAGCCTTGTAGGCATTTGAGTTTTCAGCCCTGAAGTGCAATGATCTTTTACACCTCCTCTCACATTCTGAGAGTCTGCAGTTCACCTCCTACCAGGATACGCAGAGAGTCAATGAAAATTATAAAAGGACCTGGTGCCCTCAGCACTGAGTTCTCCAGACTACATCACAGCTGAGCTGAGAGGTGGTGGAGATACAGTGAAAGGGAACTATTAGTCAGAGATTGTGTGCTTATAAGAAGTAGAAACAATGGACTTTCAGACACCACCCCCTCCCCCCCAAAAAAAGATAAGCTCATTGGAAAGACACTCTGGATAATATCAGTGAGAAGCTACCATGTACAAACACTTTACATATATTGATTCATTTCATGTTCACAATAACCTCATGAAGTAGGTGTTATACTGATTGCAAAGATGAAGAAAGCAAAGCATCAGAGAGGTTAAGTAACTTGCCTGAGGTCACAAAGCAGGCAAACATGGGATTTGAACCCAAGTAGCCTGCCTTCAGAGGCCCTGTTATTAGCTGTTATGCTATAAGCTTCACAGATATTGTGGAAGCTTATGATCCCCCAAGCCCAGTGGGAAGGGCTTGCACTGGAGAATGGAACATGGGGGTCGATGTGCTGCACGGGCTGGGAGCCAGGACTGGGAGTTGAACCTGGGCCTCCCGGGTGGCAGGTGAGAATTCTTCCACTACCACCTGGTGCACCCGTGTACCTGGACCCTAGAATGGAACACTGGGTGTTTGTTTCTGTTTCTTTTTCCAATTTCCCCACTTATCTCTGTGTCAGTTCTCACGGGATGGAAAATGTGCACCCCAGCCCTAACTCAACCAGTCTCCATGTCTCAGATACTCTAAATTCTCAATACATTTTCTTGTTTGGTCCCTTTGCAGTCAGGGACCACCCCGGCCCAGTGGGCATGAGGGGCACGTTCCTGCAGTTGGCCAAGGCTGCGGGAGGCCGACCCTCTGGGAGGAGGCATGGGTGGGGAGGGAGCTCTCAGGCACCCACGTGCAGGGAGGTGAAGGGAGTGCCTTGTCTCCGCTTTCAGATCTGCCTTCACTCGTGCTTCCAGACAAAGATGGTGGAGAAGTGTGGGTGTGCCCAGTACAGCCAGCCCCTGCCTCCAGCAGCCAACTACTGCAACTACCAGCAGCACCCAAACTGGAGTGAGTGAAACCCACCAGCTTTGCTCGCCCTAGCAGCAGGGTCAGCCCAGCCCTGGAAGCAACCTGTACTAAGGCACTCTTGGACCCCTGCCCCTCTTGCCCCTTGCCTGAGGGAGGCATTGGTAGGGAGATGTTAACTAGAGTTTCACTTCTGTTGTGAAGCCCGGCTCGAATTATATTCCCAATTAAGGACCAAATGCTACCCCCCAGCCTGTGCTACGAGCCTGACTACCTCAGTCAACTCCAGGAGGTAGGAACTATTGGCAGGACCCTTTCACAGAACAGGTAACTGAGGCTCAGAAAGGTTAAGCGACTTGCCCGAGGTCACACAGCCAGTGAGTGACAGAGCTGGATCCAGACCAAGGGCTGCAAAACCCCCAGCTCGCGTCCCTAACCACCACCATATTCTGTTTCTCAACACCACAAAGCAGCATTTGTTTCCAGTGAACCAGTGTTTGTAGGAGGTGGGAGGAAAAATAATTAAAATGAGGCTGTGGGGGACACTACTGGCAACCTGGGTACCCCCAGCGTGTGCTGTGGGACCCTGAGCTCACACTGCCCTCTGCCTTGCCCCTCAGTGTATTGCTACTACCAGCTGCACCAGGCCTTTGTCCAGGAGGAGCTGGGCTGCCAGTCAGTGTGCCGGGAAGCCTGCAGGTGAGTGGACCTGGAGGCCCAGGACGAGCAGGTCAGGGTGGGCCAGGCCACCCACACTCACTCTGTCCCCTCCTCCTCTTAGCTTTAAGGAGTGGACCCTGACCACCAGCCTGGCACAGTGGCCCTCTGTGGTTTCGGAGGTAAGTTCTTCTGCCCTCTCCTGATCCTTGGGTCCCCCAGCCTGGAGCCTCGCTGATGTCCTCACTGTGTCCTCTGGCCTGGGGGGTGATCCAGGGGGAGGGGAACTGTCTTGCTGAGGCCAGGGGAGGGGGGTGGCTGGGGAGGGAGGGCAGACGGGCTGGCGCTGGCCCCTCCGGACCCCCCCCAGGCTTGCTCTTTCTTTCCCCATCACAGAAGTGGTTGCTGCCTGTTCTCACGTGGGACCAAGGCCAGCAAATAAATAAAAAGCTCAACAAGTAAGTTTACCTGCAGCCTGTTTCCTCTGCCCGGCCTGCCGCGTGCCCAGCCTCCCGCCTCCTCCCTCGCTGCCAAACCCACTCCTTTTCATTCTCTCACTCAGTTATTCAACAAATATTCATTGAGCTCCTATCATGAGTCAGGCCCTGTTCTAGGCCTGGGGCTCCCAAACTTATTTTTAACCATAACCTGCAGTATGAAATATTTTCTACAGTGTGGCCTGTTGAAAATATAAGTGAAATAAAAATCCAATGAAACTGCTTGCTTGGGGAGTACAGTGCAGTTGGGCTGATGTCAAGATGGTCCACCCTAGTGTGGCCAGCCAGTCATTTATATCCATTCTAATTGATCACAGCAACCATTCTGATTGATTGGTGCCTGTGCCAGACCAGTTGGTAAATATTTTAAGTATCCCTTTAGATACCATCTGATATTTTCTATTCTTTTTAATTCTATAAAAGATACTGGTCATGGCCCAGTAAATTTGTTTCATTGCTTACTGATATATCCTGACCCAGGCAGAATAATATTCCTCTGAGCCTTGCAGCTTTTAACTCCACTTGAATTTTCCACGTAAAAATTCTTTTATGAGGGATCTTTAGCAAAAGTCAGGCCAGAGTTCAGGGATGCCAGCAAATGGAGACACAGATGGGAGAGGGTGAACTCACATCTGCGAGTCACACCATGTCAACTCCTATTTCTCTGGGCCACCACCATCTCCACAGTGCCCATCCTGGGCCTGCCCCCAGTGGGAACCCATCTGGCCTGCAACATTTACTGAGCATGCACTAGGCACCAGGTGTTGGGTGAGGTGCTGGGGGGGACCAGGATTACCAAGCAGACATGGTCTCTGCCCCAAGGTGCTTCTAGTGTAGTAATAAAGATAGACTTTGGCTAAATAATACAAACCATTAGAACAAGTATTGCAAACTGATGACCCCTAGGTCAAATCTAGCCCCACAAAAGTAACCCATTATTTCCAGCTTTTCCTGGAAGATCAAAAGTTCTTGTAGCAGCGACCCTCCTTCCTTGCATGGCACCAGACAGCTGAGTGATAGCCGCCCCTTTGGAATGAGCATGAAGCTTCCAGTTCACCACAGTACTATCAGGAGGCAGCTTAGTGTAGTGGTTAAGAGCATGGACTTTGAAGCCAGATCTACATGGGTTTGAATACTGGCTCAGCCAATTATTAGCTGCGTAGTCTTGAGCAAGTTGCTTCACCAGTCTGTGTCTCAGTTTCCATGTCTGTAGAATGGGCATAATTAAAATATACTTACCTACCCCCTAGGGTTATTGTGGGGGTTTTTTTTTTTTTTTTTTTTGGCTGCTGGCCAATACAGGGATCCAAACCTGTGACTTTGATGTGATAAGGCTGCACTGTAACCACTGTTATAAGGATTAAATGAGCTAATTCACACAAAGTTCTTACAACAGCCCTTGACCAAACAAGATATGCCCAACAAACACTACCTGCTATGATGGCGATCATCACCATTGCCTCATACCCAGCCTGCCTCGCTCATTCTCATTACCTACCTGTCTCCTGTATGTATTTGAGATTGCAGTCAAACAATTATAAATGTCAAAGTTTAATGATGAACAGGGTGCTGTGGGGGTATAGCGGGGTGGACTGACTTAGTCTAGAGGCTGGGAAACAGTTTTTGAGTGAATGGATGAGCTGAGAACCAAGCCTAGGCTGGAGAAATGCTCTGGGGTATGGAAGGAGCCCCAGGGGCCAGGTTCTAATAACCCCTGGAGCTCAGAGTCTGGGCTATGCTGAGGGCTAGGGCAGGAGGGCGACAGCCATGCTGAGGGGCTGGTGACCTGGTGGAATGCTGAGATTCACGACTCACTGGAGCTCTGCCTGTTGGAATTTCTGCAGGACAGACTTGGCCAAACTCTTGATATTCTACAAAGACCTGAACCAGAGATCCATTATGGAGAGCCCAGCCAACAGTGTGAGTGACTTCCTTCTGGGACCTGTCCTGGGTCTACAAATGTGCCCATCTGCCTGGCTTCGGGGAGCAGAGTCAGGCTGTGGGGATCCAGCCTGATCCAGCAGGGCTGCTAGAGGCCAGCCAGGGCTCGGGTCAGAGTGGATGGAGTGAGAGGGGACAGGAAGCTTGCCCACTTCTTCCTCCAGGCCTGTTCAGGGCTTCTTTAGGAATCGGGGTCCCTGTGTGATGCCATCTGGGTGGAGGGGGGTCCCTCTTGATGGTGTGTCTTGGCCTCCCTTGCAGATTGAGATGCTTCTGTCTAACTTCGGTGGCCAGCTGGGCCTGTGGATGAGCTGCTCTGTCGTCTGCGTCATCGAGATCATCGAGGTCTTCTTCATCGACGCCCTCTCCATCATTGCCCGCCGCCAGTGGCAGAAAGCCAAGGAGTGGTGGGCCCGGAGGCAGGCACCTCCCTGCCCCGAGGCTCCCCCCAGCCCTCGGGGTCAGGACAACCCGGCCCTCAATATAGACGATGACCTGCCCACCTTCACCTCTGCTTTGCACCTGCCTCCAGCCCCCGGGATCCAGGTGCCCGGCACGCCGCCCCCCAGATACAACACCTTGCGCTTGGAGAGGGCCTTTTCCAACCAGCTCACAGACACCCAGGTGCTGGATAAACCCTGAGGCAGGGTAGAGAAGAAAGATCTAGTCAGGACCAACCATGGTCTAAGGACTCCCAGACACAGAGGGGACCCTCTGCCCCTGCTCTGGGCTTTTCAGAGACACTGACTAGAAGCCTGCTTTGAACAACAAGGTGGAGCCTGAGCATGTGCAGGGGACCCGTCGGACCTTGTCCAGCAACATTCACAGCTGTCCAGGGTGAGATGTATCTTGCAGCTCCAAGTCAGCACATCCACTGTAGAGAAACTGTGGACTGAGGAAACAGTGCTGACCTGGACGAAGGCCAGAGTGAGGCCTGGCAGAGCTCTTCGCTGGGTCTTGAGAGAGAAGGACTCCCAAAACCCTAGCCTGGCCTGGGCCCAAGGATGTGACCTTAGGTGTCAAGGCTGGACAGCTACTGATGATGTCAAAGATAGGAGGAGGTGCCAGCTCTGTGGAGCTGGCACTGCTGGTGAATAAACTGTTCTTAAATTTGACATTGGGGCAAGACTTCTGTGCCCTCAGGCAGGCAGCTGGCCCAGGGCCCTTGGAGCATATGGGGGAGGGGTGCAGTTGGGGGAGCTCTGGGGGTGGGGTAAGATGTCCTCACTCTGAGGGTGTGGGTGGGGCTATGCTCTGGGCAGCTAGGGCAGTGCCTCAGGCCCCTTCCCAAGCAGGGAAGGGCCAGCTAAAGGGCACTGCTGTCCAATTCATAAAGGATTGTATCCCAATACCCTACCCTCAGCAGTCTTCCTACTGACCAGCCTCAGCAGCACTCCAAAATAAGCCCCCACCCCACCAATGGTCTGCCCCTCACCCATAAGCTGACCACTGCAGACAGACCACCATTTTCCCACCTTTCAACCTGATAATAGTAACTGTGCACTTTTTTTTTTTTTAATGGGGCAGCCAGTATGGGGATCCAAACCCTCGACCTTGGTGTTGCAACACCATGCTTTGACCAACTGAGGTAACCAGCCAGCCCTAGCAACCATGTGTTAAACACATAGTAGGTGTTCAATGTCAGCTCAAGAATGGTGTGTGGGGTTCTGCTCTGAGCACTTACACAGATTAGCATAGGGAATGGCAAACTATAGCCCATAGGCCAAATCCCGTGTTTGCCCTTGAACTAAGCTAAAAAAAAAAATCAAAAGAAGAATGTTTTGTGACTCTTGAAAATGATACGTGTCAAATTTCAGTGTTCATCACAATAAAGTTTTATTGGCACACAGCCACACCCGTTCATGTACATGTTGTTTACAGCTGCTTGTGCACTACAACGGAGGGGTCGCACAGTAACAACACAGATACAAAAAACCAGCAAAGCCTAAAATATTTCCTCTCTGGCCCTTTACAGAAACAGTTTCCTGACCCCTGGATTAGCACAATTTATAGGTATGATTATCCCATTTTGAGGCACAGAAAGATTAATTTACTTGTCCAAGGTGACACAGCAGGAGTTGCAGAGCCAGGATTTCAGCCCAGGCAGTCTGGCTCCAGGGCCCGTGCACTTTGTCACCCATCATCTTGCATACAATTCGTGTCTGTACCTTTTATGGGTGAGGCTGATGTCAATGTGCATGGGAAGAGGGGGAAACACAACACCCTGGCTCTACACAGAAGGAAGTCCTTCATGCATGGGTGGGAGAGGTCTGCATTTAGAGACTAATCCCCGCACAGGGATGGCTGCTAGTGGAGGCAAGAGTCTTGGTGAAAGAGAGGAGCTGTGGGGATCCCTCCTGGACCCAGAGACACTTGGTCCAACCCAAATCCAGCCCTGTGGATCTCCGCCCCATGTGCTATTTCCGCTGAACTTCACGAGACAGGGCACCACCAGGAGGCACACCAGACAGCAGGGAGGAGGTCATCGTGACCCCAGGCTGGATGGAGCTCCCCTAGGGAGTGGGCTCAGAAGTCAGGGCTGATGCAAGCAAGCATCGGGTTACAGAGGACGTGAGCTGGCTTCTGTCCACGCTGGGCTTGGGTGGCTGCAGCCAGTGCCGACAGGGAATTTGCAGGAGATGCCTACCTGGGCACTGACCTGAGAGGAGCTTCCTCCTCCTCCCCCATGGCAGGAGGGAGGGGGGCTGTGCCTTCAGATTCACAGAATTGAGCAGCCTTAGCATGATGTCACAGTCAGGAACACCTCGAGAGAGGCTTGTCAAAGGAGAGGCCACGAGCATCTGGAGCTAACACAGCTCAATTCTCCCCCAGCACCCAGGAAGGCACACCCTGTGGCTCCAGCCATTGCCATCCTGCCTGGCTCCTGCAACTCCCATCACTGCCCTCTCCTTCTCAACTCACCCTTCCAGGCAGGCACAAATGTCACCACCTCTGTAAAGTCTTCCCTGACCCTTTTCTCTTGCCCCAAGAAGTTGGAACTTCCACCATTATAGAACTTACACCCCTTGATATACTTTTAACCCTCTTGTCTGTCTCTCTCTTAGACTGTGAGCTCTGTGAGGGCAGGAATTGTCTTATCTTTTTGGCCCCAGATTGGAACAGGACTGAGTAGAGTGTTGGCATTTAGAAAAAGTTTGTGGAGCTAATAAAAACAATAACAGCAATAATAATGGCTAATATTTATTGAGCACTTATTGTTTGCCAGGGATTCTGCTAAGCACTTCACACACATCAGCTCATGTAATTCTTGCAGCTCAGCTACTCTTGCAAATAAAGAAACTGAGGCACAGAGAGTTCTCTTCATGCCACACCACTAGTAACTGGTGGGCCCAGGCCAGCAGCCAGAGCCTGTACACTTAATCCCTGCAAACTGTCTTTCAGATGGAGCTTTCCCCAGAGGCAAAGACTGTCTGCCCCCGAGGCAGTCTTCTCTGGTTCTCTCTGGCGTCAGGTCCAGCCCGCTCAGACAAAGGGCCTTCTTGTCCCAGGACAGAGGTGAGGGTGGGGGAGAACAGCTTCATTCCCAGACCCTTTTGATAAGCAACCGCCATAGCCAGGGGTCACTCCAAGGGACAATGACTCCATTCGTAGGGCACAGAAACGTTTGTTCTCAATGTACCCCTGGTCTTCTCAAAGTCTCTGAGCTACCTCCTCACTACAATTCTGACTTCCCCTTCCAGGCCATTTAGTCCAAGACTCAAGTGCTCTACTTCCCACAGGACATCTCCTGATGAATCAGAGGCACCTCAAGCTAAACACCTCCCGTTGAACTTGTACCCCAAGGGGAGATATTGGATAAAGACTCCAGCCTCTCTTGGGGTTGAAACCTTAGGACAGAGGTCTGAGCCAGACAGAGACATGTGGGAGTCTGAAGGTGGTGCAAGTCAAGGGATGAAAACTAGCCAAAAGAGGAGGAGAGAGTCGTGGATGGAGACCCTGGGTCCCTGACGTTTTAAGAACCAGCCAGAACATGAGAAGAAGCCACACAAGGCTCCCCTCCTCCTCATGAACCTCCCTGCCTCCCAGCTCTCCTTCTTCTTGTCCCACTCTAGGCTATGCCAGGAGGATGTCCCAAAGGGCAGACTGGACCACGGCATTCCCTGCTCAGATGCCTCTGCAGGGTCCTCATCACCTCCACCACATTTCACAAGTTGCAGGACTCACCTTACGGCGATAATTTTAATTGGTGCACAGACTTAACTGCTATGTCACACGCTGCCCTCTCTTTCTCCACTCATCCTCCGCTCATTCACTCACCCTTCAAGACCAGGTACAAATGTCATCATCTCTGTAAAGGCTTCCTTGATCCATTCCCTTGCCCCAGCAAGTTGGAGCATTAAGCATTATTGACTGACAGAATAAGAAAACCATTCCATTTTTCAATGTGCAAAAACAACGTTCCTGTTTGGTGTTCCTGGGTCTTTAACACTCTCTGACAGGGTTGATCTCTCTTCTCTAACAAAGAGCGAGCTGTCTCAGGGCTCGCAACTCTCTAACTCTGATTTAACAGCATCATTTCTTCACTGCATGTGTTTTCTCAGTTATTTTCGGCTTGTCGTAAGCAATACTGGTGTCTCCTTTAGTCATTTGCTGAACACTGTTTATTCATTCAGCAAATTTTGGTGGGGGAGGTTGTTTTTGGAGGCTGGCCAGGGTGGGGATCCAAGCCCTTGACCTCAGTGTTATCAACATAGCGCTCTAACCAGCTGAGCTAACCAGCCAGCCCTTCACTCTGTGAATGTTTATTGAGTGTTGTATTAGTTTCCTATGGATGCAGTAACAAATTGCCACTGATGTAGTGGTTTAAAATGACAGAAATCTACTCTTACAGTTCAGGAGGCCAGAACGCTGAAATGAGTCTTACAGGGCTAAAATCAAGGTGTCAACAGGGCTGTTCTCTCTCCAGAGGCTCTGGGGGAGAATCCATTTCCTTGCCTTTTCCAACTTCTAGGACTGCATTCTTTGGCTCCTGGCCCCTTCCTCCACCTTCAAAGCCAGCAGAGTAGCATCTTGCTTCAGTCCTTACATTGACTTCTTCTGATGCCTTTTTTTTTTTAACAAGGACACTTGTGATTACATGTAAGTCCCACCCAGATAATCCAGGATATTCTCTGCATCTGAAGATCTTTAACTTAATCACATCCTCAAAGTCTCTTTTTGTGCCATAAAAGGTAACATCCACAGGTTCCAGAGATTAGGATGTGGATATCCGGGGTGTGTGGCCAGGGTGGGGGGCATTATTAAGCCTCCTGTGAGTGCTTACTATGTGCCAAGCACTATTGCAGAAGTTGGGACGCATCTATGAGTCAAGCAGACAGAACTCCTTGCCCTTGGAAAACTCACATGCTGCAGAAAATCACGAAAACAACCAATATAAGAAATAAGTCAATTAAGGGGCCGGCCCGGTGGCGCACTGCGCTAGTGCGCCACTTGGGAAGCGCGGAGGCGCTCCCGCCGAGGGTTCGGATCCCACATACAGACCG